ATACTGAATTACTCATTAAACATACTAAATGAAACTTGGTACTTTTTACTGCTGACTACCAGAGTCCACCCCAATGAGGTGATCGGGGAGGAATAAACTCTCATTGAATCTCGATTTGAACTAAATAAGCTCTAATTTTGTCAAATTCAGAATTTGATTTGAAAAAATTACTTAATTTCTTAAGTTGATTAGTGGTACCAACAAAGTTAGTCCCGTTGTCACTATATATAGTGAGGGGATTGCCTCGACGGGAAATGAATCGTTTGAACATTGTTAAAAAGCGTTAGAAGATAACTCACTAACCAACTCTAAATGAATGGCATTTGTAGCCGAAAATTGCAAAATAAGATTTAAGCGTTTGCGCCTTTCGTAATCTAGAAGACCTAATAAACAGATAACCTGCAAAATCTGTACCTACAGTGTATAAAGCGCGCAGGATTCTAACTTTATCCAATAGAAGTGGAGACATAAGTAATGCATTTTTTGATAATGCGATTAACAAACTTGACCCCACTTAAAGGCCAATATAGTAGGCACAGATTGCCTAACACATTTTAAGGAACACTGTGTCCTAGTCTAGAACGTTCCTTTTTAATCAGAAAAAAAAAGAACACGATCATTTGCGGGCAACAATATAGGAAATTTATTATTAAAGTCCATATCTGCATTTTTCTCTGGCAGATATCTCTGGAGACGGACAATACACGACATCACGTCGACCACTACACTCCCCCTGGGGGGTCAGGATTGACGAGAGAGATCTGCATTTTGAAGTGTCCTCTAAGGCTAGGCGCATACACATCGAATTTGGACGGTCGATAAAAGTTCGACCGAACTTTTGTCGATGAAGCCTTGCGCGCACACTACACGATATTTATTCGATGACGTTTTTTAATCCACAAGGGTTTGTTAGGTGGAGTAAATACACAAAATCACAATGAGCAAGACAGAACCACGTAGCAACACGGAGCGACGTACCTTGAGCAGTGTCAAAAAAAAACGCAACTGGGTCGTGTGGTCGGTCGATAAAGATCGATGTGTGTGCGCGCGTTCATTTGATACTATACGCCTTGGAAGGACGGCAACGACCAAGGCAGCCGTGAATGCAGTGACATTCACACGACATCGATGCCGTGCCGTTTGGCGATTGATGTGTGTGCCACAAGGATCTACAGACGAGAATTTGGTATACAAATTCCACGGCTTCGCGCAATCGTACTTGTAAGTTCGTGAATTAGTTGACTGGAGTTACAATTTGCCAAATTTAAATGTAATCGTTTCTACTCATTCATATTAATATTATAATGTATAATATATTAAAGTTTTTAATATTGGTAATATTATTCATAATAATATTATAATGTATTATCACTGCTTGGTATTGACGACAAGGACATTCGAATTGGGGCAAACCTATACTGGGGTCAAACAGCAAGAGCAAAAATTGGCAACGAACTCACTGAAAGCGTGCAGATCAAAAGGGGTGTCCGTCAGGGGTGTATATTATCCCCACTCCTATTCAATATGTATTCCGAGGAAATATTTAACAAATGTATGGAAAATGCAAATGAGGGCATTAAAATAAACGGCGAGTTAACGAACAATATAAGATACGCCGACGACACGGTGATCCTTGCCAGTACCATAGACGAATTACAACAAGTAATGGAAAGACTTTATTCAGTTAGTGAGGAATACGGCCTGAGCCTCAACTTCAAGAAGACAAAGTGGATGCTGATAAGCAAAAAGCAACAACCTGCTCGACAATTACGGATAAGTAACATATTAATTGACCATGTAGAATCTTATGTGTACCTTGGCACCAACGTAAATGCAAAATGGGAACAGACCATAGAAATTAAGGCGAGAATAGAACGAGCTAGAGCAGCATTTAGCAATATGAAAAAGCTTCTCATAAGCAAGGATTTGTCTCTTCCCCTAAAACTACGTATAGTTAAATGCTACATTTTTCCGATCTTGCTGTATGGCGTGGAGGCCTGGACGCTGACGGAGACGCTAACGAGAAAACTAGAAGCATTCGAAATGTGGGTGTACCGACGCATTCTTCGTATATCCTGGACCGAACATGTCACCAACATAGAGGTACTCCAAAGAATCGGAAAGGAGAAAGAAATCGTAAATACAATTAAACAAAGAAAGCTTGAATATCTAGGCCACATATTGAGACACGATAAGTACCGTCTGCTACAATTGATTGTCCAGGGAAAAATAGACAGTAAGCGAGGGCCAGGCAGGAGAAGACACTCCTGCGGCTCCAAAATCTGCGGAAGTGGTTCGGGCTCACATCGGTCGAACTATTCAGAAGCGCCGCAAACAAGATCAAAATTGCCATGTTAATAGTAAACGTTCGCAATGGACAGGGCACTTGAAGAAGAAGATTATCACTGCTTAGCGTATTTTCATGGAAATCAACCGCTGTGCTGACTAGTATTTTTTTAAATTGTGATGAATACATATATTAAATAAAGGGTATTTTAAATAAATTTGTAATATTTTATGCGAAAAGAAGAAAAGACTCAGTTCCGAGTCGTGAGCGTATTCCTTATATTTTCTTTAATTGTGTTAAGCTACTCGGATGTGAGTCGTGTAGCGTTATAACTGCTACATTGCCTGCTTTCTTTCTTATGTTAATATATTTCGTTAATTCTATTCTCCAATTTCCGTATCTTCTGTCATAATTCTGATACAATCTATATCCTAGAAAATATATAGAAAAATAAGAGATACAATGGAGGATATAGAAGAATATGAATTATGACAGAAGATACGGAAATTGGAGAATAGAATTAACGAAATATATTAACATAAGAAAGAAAGCAGGCAATGTAGCAGTTATAACGCTACACATTAATATGACAGAAGATACGGAAATTGGAGAATAGAATTAACGAAATATATTAACATAAGAAAGAAAGCAGGCAATGTAGCAGTTATAACGCTACAGTCGTTGTTATAATTATTCAAAAAAATTAATTTCCAATATTTTTTATTAAATCAAATGAGAAATATTATAGCAAATTAAGAACTAAGGAAAAAAAACAAATTTTCATTTCCTAGCAAATTGTTTCTGAACACATAAGATTAAAACTTCCAAATAAAATTTGGATAATATTGTAAAGGCTTTTATACACTGAAATGAAATTAAAAAAGAACATGAAAAAAGTGGAAAAATAATAAAACATTCCCAAATTTAAATATATCTCGAAAACAAAATACGATCTGGAAAAAGAATACCGGAAATGTTTAATTTTTTTGAGCTCTTCGATTGTGTAGTACCTTCAATTTCAGTTTTTTTCAACAATACTCAAGTATTCCGATTTATTATTCTCAGCCTTATATAAATTTCCAAGAAATTAATATCGGATGAAGTTTCAACAAACGAAATGAAAATCCTAATATTAAAACAGCATTACTTGTATGACCAGGTACAATATCTGACTGTTATGCAAATTAGTAGGTAATTAGAAAGTCAGTATGGGCAAAACCAGCTTATTCAAATTATAGGTACCTACCTTTAGTCTTGTATTGAAGGATTTTAATTTATTACCCTTAGCATACGTAAAGATATAAAAAACGAGTTATTTATCTCGTACTTATTTTAAGCAAGGCGCAACATTTAATTAGTTAATATTAGTATTAATATTAAAAAATAGTATTAAAAGCTTTAATAATATTACCAATATTAAAAACTTTAATATATTATACATTATAATATTAATATGAATGAGTAGAAACGATTATACATTTAAATTTGGCAAATTGTAACTCCCGTCGACTTCACGAACTTACAAGTGCGATTGCGCGAAGCCGTGGAATTCGTATACCAAAATCTCGGTCTGTAGATCCTTGTGTGTGTGCCCGCTCACATTTGTTTCTTCGCGCCACCAAACGAATTTGTTCGATCAAACTTTTATCGACCGTCCAAATTCGATGTGTGTGTGCAATTCCAGAGGAGTCTAAAAAAGCATTAAGAGAGAGCAATTTTTTGTCTACGACGAGTTCTTTTTCTTAATCATTTGGAGAATGATTAACAACTAATAGAGCTATTTTCTATACTTCCGGTAAATTCTCAATTTGCTCAAAGGTACCAATTTCATCAAAATATATTTTGGGATTTAGCAAAAAATGTTTTTTGATTAAATACACCGCGGGACAAGAGATCCGCAGGATTTAATTGTGATTTAATATGTCTCCACTTTAGATTTTTAACAAGATTCTAAATATTTTCCACTCTCTTCGAAACAAACGTATTATAATTATTAGCGGGATATTTAATCCAGCTGAGAGCAATTTGTGAATCTGACCATGCGTTTACAGAATTAATCTTTACACAGTTTTTAGCTACAAATAAACCCAAGGTAGTTCATATCGAGAGACTAGTCCCATATCATGAAACTGATCCATCCTGTTGGCTTCAATAGGTTCCTAATTCGAGGCGAATAACTATAAAGGAGGGAACAGTGTTATGACAGTTCTGTGAGACCTATTTTATATAGAAAAAGACCGTTGATGAAAAAGACGAAGTACTAAAAATATCTCTAGAATTTTCGGACGTCATTGAAAAATCATCAAAAAATTTATAAAAACACTGGAAGGTAATAACAGCAGTATTTTGAATTTGAATAGTTGTCATTATTGTTGGTGTTTGAATGACTGTGGACTTTAAGTTTGCACAGCTGTTGAAAATGTGTACTAATATAATTCTATTTTATTACAATATATTTTTGTTTTAATTATAAATGCGATTGTAGAGAAGACATGTTTTATAAATGCGGTCAATAAACGATCTATATCTTTATCTACTAGCGAATATGGTTAAAAACATCAAAATTGTTGCTACTGCTAGTGTACTACTTTCTTTCTAAGTATATACTAATCTACTTTCTTTACTACATTTATAATTTGTACAAATTACACTACATGTACAAATTAATGTAACCACTAGATTAAAATTTTAAACCCTTATCCTTGTATTACAGACTTCAAAATGCACCAAGGAGCATTCCTTGGTACTGGTTGGACCCGCGGTGGAGCTTCGGAAGTGGTACGGCGAGCCCATCCTGCCTCTGGTGCCCAATGGAATGTTCAAGTCGTCAGGGGAAAGTCAACGGCAAATGCCTGTGGAACGCCTGCAAAGCGCTCAGCTTGGGGCTGCTCCTGATGGTGTTGGGAGCAGCTATGGCTACTATAGGTAATAATATATACTTATACTTAAATTATTAACCAACATGCTAATGGTTTAAAGTGTCAATTATGTGAGTTTTAAAATCATTTATAATATACATATTATCACTTGTCCAACCAGTGTCGTTGCGCACTAGCTGTTCTTCACTTTATTTTTGATACCTCTCGTTTTTAACAGCTGGCAACCCTAATTTGCGACCATTTTTTCTTAGACAACTTTATATCATCATGTTAAGAACAAAATTAGCTTTAATTTAATATATAAAAAAACACGCATATACGTCATGAGCAGCGTATTTATTTAAAAAATGAATGAACTATATCACTGTTTGACTGGCAACCTGTTATTAATGCATTCTCCTAATTTTAAATGTATGTAAAAATGTGGTAATGGACTACGATATGAACGTAGTGATCCTGCAGTGGAATCTTGTACTTTAAGTTTGTTTTTTTGTGGCTATTAGAATAATGATTTACGAAGTTTTAGTCACATTTATTTGAAAGCAGAACAAATAAGTTCGTTAAAATCGTTCAGTAACTTAAAAGTTTACAGTAATGTTTCCAAATTCAATTCCCTTTAACTATTCAGTTAATTAAATACGTTGCTGTTCGTTGTTTCTAAGAATATATATTTTTTAGGTTATTACGCTGATCACCTATCGGTCGCTCCGGAGTTCAAAGGAAACTTTACGTATCGCACAAAAAACGAAACGAAAAGTTTTCATCTCAACAATCTTTCTTATGCTGGACCCATTGTCATGGGAGTTGGGGGTAAGTGACTTTAATGAAAACTTTCCGAACTTAATAAATATACCTTTTTGGAGACTTAAAATTTACTTTGTAGTCTTTACCTTCTAATGTAAATTTAAAATTCCTTTTATTAATTAGTGAAATATTTATATATAAAAAACATTAAAAAAATCAGCGAACATTCGCTTTGAACTCAAATTTAGCACAAATATGCTTCTTTGTCTTATTAATGAACCAACATAAATACATAAAATACCACAAAGCTACTGCAGTTAGTATTCATCATTCACACTTATTGATGACATTGACGACAATGTAAAATTGGTCATTAAAAGAATGATTACGATCTTAGAAGGTAAAGTGCGTACGTAGAATCTGTTTTTCTATTATTAAAAGCATTTTGTGTTCTGTTATATGTTTGTTAAATATTTTACCAGTTTGACCGATGTAAATTTTGGGGCATGTAATTTTGTATACACAACTGTGTAAGTGCTTTTTCTTTTGGCTCTTTGTTGTTGTTCTTAATATATTATTAAGTCTTAAGTTTAAGCTTCTGTTTTTTCTGAAAACTGGAGTTATTCCTTTCTTTTTTATGTTTATCTAAGCAAAAGATATTGAATTTTTTATTTGGTGGTTGAAAAACTAAGTTAGGACTTTCTTAACCAGTTTTTGGTTTAAAATTTTTTTTCTTGTTTGTTAGTTGTCATTGTTTGCTGCTATTTGCTTGATGATATTGAATTATATCTCTTAGTTAATTTTTGACACGTGAATTTCTGTTGTAACATGCTATGGTAGGCTGATAATTTGTTGTGTGGGATGGAATGATGAACAGGATATGTACAGTTGTGTCAGTATGATATAGACAATACGAAGAACTCATTTTTTTTTTCAAATCTCACTTTCAAATGTAGAAAATTTATGGATTTATTTTGTATTATTTCTGTTGTAAATTCAATATGAGTATAGAGGGAATTATTGTTAAATAATAATTGATCATGGTACCTGTTAGTTCCTGCATATCATACTAGTATCTCCACCAATATAAAACTGTTTGAATACTGGATGTTTTAAAATATTTGTTTCTAAATTATCCATATAAAGAGCTGATAGTAATGGACTTAGACTGCTTAGAGGATTGCCTATGATAAGTGCTGCACTTTTATTTGTCTATATTTGATTATTAAATTCAAACTACTTTGACATTGCAAACAATAGAGTTTCATCTTTGCAGGCTTCATTGTTGTAGCTGCGTGTGTTATGACTTTTGAAGCCAGAGACTCTGCTGCCAAAGTCGTACCGGCCAGATTCAAGTTAAGTACTACAGGACCACCAAGCATCTGCGGTCATGGTAGTTGTAGCAGTAGACATAGTTCATTAAAAACATCTGCAGTGCAGGTGTGTATATATTAATTAGTTACTTTTTTCCGCAATTTTATTATACTTTATTACTCAATCGTTGACAGCACGCTAAAGGGTCAGATGTTGTAAAGCAAAAATTAAAAACGTGCAACGTCTAAAATTCACAAAAGGAATTTATTTACTACTCCTGATGATGATGATCTCCTCCTCACGGGAGGAGACCCGTGTCGTCAAAATAGCAAGAGATAAGTCAGCCAGAATTGCTTATAAAGAGGAAGAAGAAGAATTAAGGGAGTGATAGACTGCTTCTGTTTTTCAAGTCGGCTCAAGTCTTCTGCAACCTTGACCTGGCCTACGGTGGTCAATTCTCGGAAGAAAAACTCATAGACCATTTAATATTTATGATGCAATAATGCTTACGATATAAATAAAATTTTGGCAAAGGATGTGCTTTACAAACCGTAGTGCTAATCGATAGCGAAAAAATATTTCGTTGGGGAAAGCAGTATTTAAGGGATATGCGAAAATAGAGACAGGATAAAAGATCTAACTACTATTCAAATAAAATTGGCTAAATGAAGGATACTTAGTGTACAAATTATGCCAGGACAAAAGTATTCAAACCAGTCTCAAGCCTTATAGAAGACTTATCTGTAAAACTGAAAATCATCGACTACTATTGGTTCATGGAATGGTTCATTGAAGATGGTTTAGTATCAGAGATAAATGCAGACATCTTTAAATAACCATTCACTTAAATGATTAAGTTTATTCTAAAAAAATGCTTTAATCCTAATGGACAACATAAATTATCATAATCGAATTGGATCATTATTTAGCTAAGAACTCATTACACCATTTTGCGACTAGCTGCTTACTTTTACATCTACATACATTAATATACGTTATTTATTTTTACTTAATTTTTTCAAAAATATTTGTTAACAATATTGGTCCAGTAAATTTTATGTCATTAGATATTTTTTAAATTTGTTTACTAAGAGCTTACCTATATACCCTAACATTCTGCGATATTCTTAGGTTCAGACTATGGCTCAGCACCCTCATCCTCATCAGCATGTAGCCTCGACTGACAGAAGGGCGTTGACCCAGTCTTTTTTACATTTTTCTAGGGGCCTTGCGTTAGAAACGCAACAAAATAAGAATTTGCTCAAAATTCCACAGGTAAGATAATATTTTTGTTATATATTATTAAACTTTATTTCAAATAAGCCAAAATGATTCTTCTTCTAATCGATAATAAAAAATCCATTCAATAGAGACTAAATTTAAATCAAAAGCAATTGTTTATCTTACTCCAAATCTCCAAATCAGGTTAAAGAGTGTTAAGAACCGATGTTGAAATAAAGCAAAGATGGTATTAATACTTATGAAAATTGCTTATTATTGCTTGAACATTGCGTTTTATAGTTAAAACTCACTCTATATTTTTATTTATTATTAGGGTTCTATCAATAGAAGTCCATCCGCTCCTGATCTTGTCCTAGAACGTTCTGCAAGTACGGAACAACCTCCTTCGCCAAAGATACGGACACCTGTTCCACAAAAATCCAATTCGAAACCAAAGACTTTTGCAGCGTGTGCACTGCTCAATCCTGGATTGCTTCACAGACATGCGCTCTCTGTAGATGAAACTGCGGGAAATTATAGGTGAGTATATTAATATCAATAAATAATTTTGTTTTCGATATTATTGGTTCAAGAATCTATATCCATTCCCTACAATATTGTTGCCAAGACTTTTTGATGTTTAATTTCCACTTCTGAAATCTTTGTCGAAATACAATTTCTAAAATGCAAATTTAAACATCGAAATAAACGAATTTTAAGCTTAAATTGCAATTAATTCATAATCAAGATAGGAAATAATATACTTACTTTGTTTTTTCTCTGTGCTGTAAATTTATATACTCTTTTGCTATTTTTTCGTCATTTGGATAACCAAAAAGATCTTTTTGAACATAAACATTAAAATTGTGTCTTAAATTAAGAATATAAAGTGAATATTTCGATGAATTCTAGACATAGTAATGATTCTCTTCACCCTGGTGGTAGCCAAGGATCTATGGCGATGGATTTACATTTAGAGTGCCCTGTAACTTTACGTGTTAGAGACAGGAGAAGAAATCCTTTAAAAAGACAGAGAAAAGTAGAAGAAGAAGCAAACCATAATAACGAGCATAACGTTAGAAGAAGTTCACATTCTTGTTCAGTGAAGTTGACGACACAGAGTTTGAAAGATACTTCCAGAAGAGGTAAGTAAATAAACTTATTTTTACTGGATAATATACCCGGTGTTTCATTAATAACTGAAAATATTTTACACTGTAGATTTTAGCCAAATAACCTAAATAAAATGTGGAGTCTTTACTAAGTTACATGATGTTTTATGTAAAAATTTAAAAACTATTTGTACTCAGTACTTTTAAAACCATTTGACATATCCTTGTCGTAATTATCAGGAAATGAATGTACAGTACACGCTACTAAATTATGTAAAATAAACATTTCTGGTTACTACCAGAGGCGTACGACAGGGGATAGTGAAAGGTTGTCATTTTCCAAATTCTACGCTACTGACGAAATTTCTATTTTAGTGCAATTTTTCGATTCCAATATCTACTTTTTTATATAAATAATGTACTCTTATTCTAAACGATAATGTCATTATTTTTAGAGATATTTGAAGTTAAATAAAGTAATAGCGCAGATATTGTGAATTATGTCAGTGTTTTTAGGTCATAGGATTGCATTTATTATGCAAATGACATTTTAATGCTATCAACAACAAAACTTAGGGCCGGTTGTTCGAACGCTAATAAAAACTTGATTGTACTCAAATATTTAATTAAAATCAAATACGTCACATTTTGAGGTTATGGTGACTGATTTATTTTATTTAATTTTATTATTTTGCATTTTAATTTAAAATAAACCATAATTAAACCCTTTCTGATGTTAATTTCATGTTTTTATCTACATATTAATAATAATAATAAGCAATTTTTAATAATTTTGACAGCTGTTGTGACGTATTTGCTTGTAATTAAATATTTGATTCCAATCAAGTTTTGATGAGCGTTCGAAAAACTGGCCCATAATGTTATTTATTCGAATAGATGCATTCAACATTTAAACACAAATTGTTGTTCTAAAAAGAACTATTTTGTTATAATCTAAATAAAGGACAACTTTAATAACACTAAAATATTACAAAATACATTTTAACTAAACCTTTTGTAACAAAAGTTCAATGTGAAGCACATTTATCTCAAGATAAAATTTGAGACCTTATTAAGAGAATCATACCAAAAAACCATTTAAGTATTGACAAACCACCTATACGGCGATTTGAAATTGACCTTTCTGTTTTTTTTTTCAAATGGGATAAACAAATAGAATTGTCTAAAAACTACTTGACCGATCGGGTCCCTTTCGCAAATATTGTAACTGTATAAAAACTCGCAAAAAGAATAATTGAAGACAAAAAGCAACTATACATAAAATGGCTGACCACAAACAACGATAAGGTTTACAAAGAATATAGAGAAAAGGATAAAGAAGTGAAAAAACAAATAACACAACAAAAGAATGAAGAATGGGAAAGAATCTGCTTAAATATTGAAATATACATAGGAGATATAAGAACTTCGAAGTCATGGAAAGTACTGAGAGGATTGAAACAAAACTCAAAAGAAAAAATTAAATAGGGAAATATACAGGACAAAGAATGGAAGGACTATTACAAGAAACTGTTAATAGAACAAAGACCACGATTCATTGAAAAAGAAATCAGGTGAAGACGAAGCAGATCCCGATAACAAGAAATAGAAATAACAGATAGGGAAATGAAACGGCAATGAGCCATAAAAGCAATCAAAAATAAGAAAGCACCGGGACCTGGAGGTATCTTACTTGAGCTTATAAAGGACGGCTCAAAAAAATTACACCGAATGATAAAATGGATATTTCAGAAAGTCATAGATGGAGAACAGCTCCCAAAGGAATGGACGTAGGCATATTCTTCTCGATCCTATTGTAACCTTCGAGGCAGCTGCTCTGAACAATTGCCTTGAGCTGCAACCAAACCACTCTCTCAGGTTCTTCAACCAGGAATCGCGTCTTCTTCTTACGCGTAGGCATATATTACATCTATATTTAAGAAAGGAGGTAGAAAACGATGCGAAAACTACAGAGGAATAAGCGTAATATTATCAATAGAAAGATTATATGGGAAAATAATGCGAGAAAAGATAGAGCAAGCGATAAAAGGCAAAGTCGTGGAGGATTAGACAGGCTTCACAGCAGGAAGATCAGGCATAGACCACATATACACACTGGAACAACTCTTGGAAAAGAAAAAAGCAAAAATAGAGATATACATTTGTCATTTGTAGATCCGAGAAAGGCGTATGACTCTGTGCCAAGGTCAGAACTATGAGCAATGTACAAATTAGAAACACAGACGGAACTCATAGAAGCTACAAAAGCTCTGTATAAAGAAAATAAAATGTCCAATAAAATATGACCAAGAATCATAGGAGACTTCTTCACAAAAAAAGGGTTGCAGGGTTTTTTCACATCTCCAACCCTATTTAAAATATACTTGGAGAAAACCTTGACTACATGGAAAAGAAAATACGAAAGCATGTGAGTACTAGCACAAAACGAATACCTATATACGTTAAGCTTTGCAGACGGTCAAGTAGTGATTGCACAAGACCAAAAAGACCTCAGTTACATGACGAAGAAAATACAGGAAGGATATACCACGGCTGGCCTAGATATAACCTCGCGAAAACAGAATACCTGTCAACAAGTGAAGAAGACATAGAAGATCTACAGATTGACGACGTTGTAACAATCAAAGGAAAGAATAAATTTAAATACTTGGGGTTTATAATCACGAAAAAGGCAACAACAGAGAAAGAAATTAAGCAAAGATTAGGACAAACAAGAAACAATCCGACAACTTAACTCAGTGAGGCTAAAAATTGAATTATAAACAAGAAAAACAGCAGTAATATAGTAGCAACGGAGATGGAATGTCCGCGAAGATGCTGCAGAGTAACAAGAATGGATAGTATAAGTAATGACGAAATAAAGCAAAGAAACAAACATACTAACATATATAGAACAAAAAGGACTAAAGTGGTATGAACATGTAAGAAGAACTAGCGACAGCAGATGGATAAAAAGAATAACCGAATGGAGCCCCATAGGAAGGAGAAAAAGAGGATGACCCCGAAGATCCTGGAGGAACGAAGTAGACGACACCATGAGTAAGAGAGGTATAAATGATGGACAATGGGATAACAGAGAGGTGGAAACGGTTGAGTGAGCTAAAGCAGTAAATACTGTAGAATTCCTCACGTTGTGAATTATATTTTAAATGGTTTTAGTATTTATTTTAATAATCATAAATAATTGAAAAAAAAGATTACTTTCGGGTTTAATTAGCAAAAATTTTTTTGTTTTTAAACATTTTTAATTTGGATAGTCTCATTTTAAAGACCTAGCATTTTCAAAGAAGTCATCTATTACTTAAATTTTTTATATAGAATGCGTAGTTTTTTCATAATCTTGAAAAGAATTAAAATAGCCCTTAATAATTTTTCTAATTGTAAACTGATTTTTCGGTTTCTTTTCCTAGGGTAATAAACTATTAACGGTTTATAAATTTAATTTAATTTGATTAGTTATTTCTTTGAATAAAAAAGCAAAAAAAATAATGTTAATTGTTTATGCAGATAAGTGACTTTTATTTTACAATGACTGAATTGATTTTTACAGCCGTATAATTGTTGTATTATTGTTTATTTAATATTTAGCTATATCCTTAACTTATGCCTCGCAGTTATTAAGGAGAATAATCTATTTATATTCAAGAAATTACGTTGAAATTATATAATTATATTCTAAACTAATTTTTCACAAATTATTTCAGAACAATAAGATAATATACGAACAAAGTTGGATAACGAATTCAGAGTTTAGCAGCATGAAAAATTTATGTACACTTGTCTTGTACTCATGCCAACATTTAAATTTAAATATGAATGGAGTATTGTTTCATGTTTGCCTCCCTAATACGACTTTGAAACTTAAACAAAAATCTTAAAGTGTAACAATTTAAAATGAATATTACAAAAGTTAAATTGGATGTAAGGATAAGTATAAACTGTAAAAAAGTATATATGTGCATACAACTCTCATTCGTAATTTTCTATACCAGACTATGAGAAGTATTACCTTAAATTATTACTTACAATTACCATTATCCTTCATTCCTTTAGGAGTGTGTTAAATATTTCTTAATATTTGATTTATGAGTTCTATAAAATTAGAGAAACACTTTTTTAAGAAGCTATAACTAGCCATGGTACTCTACAATGTAACTAGCTATATCGAATTTATTTTTTTAGTATATGGCTACATCACAGTTAAGTTTTGTATATAAGTAGTGTATAAGTAAAAGGGACAATACATCACAGAGTAAATAACAATATTTAATTTTTACAAACAAAACATTTAGTTGACAAAAAATATATTCAATTGACTCTTTGGTTGTAACTAAAAAGTCGGACGGATTGCAATTGTAGGATCTAATTCACATTCCTCCACTAAATGTTAAACGGTTTGGCAAACTAGTTTTTATGGTAACGAATACAGTTTTTACAAATTTTTTGCAAAATCCGAGTCTGCAATAAAAATGGGGATTCTATTTGAGAGTTCAAAATTGACCCCCTTTCCAGACTAATCAGAGAGTATAAAAGATTCCGAGACCCATACATCAAAACAGCCTACAATCATCTCTCAGCTTCAATAAGGCTAGATGCCATTAAATTGAAACAACATCAGTGGAGACGAGTTACCCCAAATATGGATCACAAGATGGTAATTTCTGGAACAAATTTAAAACCCTAGTTAAAATAAATTCAAGGCCACAAACCCCCCCCCCCCCACAGCACTTCGGAGATCGTAATATTCAACATCCAATTATGGCGAGGACATCGTCAAGCAGATGTGAAAGTTCGGTAAAAATACATCGCCTAGTCCAGATGGCACACACAGGAGATGTCTTAGAAAACTCCCAGAGAGTATAATCCCGCTGCTTACTAACAACGCATACCTTCTACTCTGTTACTTTCCTACTCCTTGGAAAGTAGCCAGCACAATCATGATAACTAAACTATTCAAACCCCTAATCAGCGCTGAATCTTATAGACCAATTTCTCTACTGAACACTCTAGGTAAAGTTGACGAGAGAATCCTAAAAGAGAAACCCGTAGAATCCCTAAAAGCAAACAATATCATTTCAAAATTCCAATTCGGCTTCAGAACTGAACACTCCTCTCAGAATTCATTGACAGAAGCAGCAAGCTTCATCTCACGCTCAATTAATAAAAAAGGCCAAATAGCCATAGGCATATTCCTAGATCTTCAGAAGGTCTTCGGTCAGGTCTGGCATGTAGGTCTGATTAAAAAACTCCGTCGCTTTGGACAGCCAACCAACCACCTTTCTAAAAACTATCCACTCATATCTCCCTAATCTTACAATAAGCTGGAGTACCTCAAGGCTCAATTTTAGCACCAATCCCATACACAGCTTACAACAGCGACCTCCCACGCCCCTATGATCAAAATAAAACCACCCTCCTCTATGCCGACGAACAGCACTGCTCGCCTGAGGCAGAGTAGACGGAATTATAAGGAGCCGCTCTGTATTCAGTAGATCTTAAGGCCAACTTGGCAAAATCGTCAAATAGTGCGACGAATGGAGAGTCACTCTTAACCCAACCAAGACACAAGCCATCCTCTTCAGATATCCGAGAACCTCCCGATTAGAAGACGAGGGCAGCCTGATAGAGCTCTACGGATTTAGATTCCCGTTTCAAAGATAATTTAACTACTTGGGCGTTCAATTTCTAAGGAACCTCAATTGGGAGACTGAACTTCGCACTCTAAACAGAATGAGAAGAAGGTCTGGACTCATGAAAGCCCTATCAGCCAAACCTTGGGGTATACAGAGCAAGACTCTCGTCTACACCTACACAACTTACATCAAACCTATTATTGAGTACAGGGCCGTTCTTTTTTCTTTACTGAACAAAAGCCAAATGAATGCCATTATGACCACTGAACTTTCTCTTAAGAAAGATTTGCACCATAGCAAGCTCCAATATCAGCGCAAACGAGGTTCTAAGAACATCTTTCAACATCCTAGAAGCGACGCCAATACGATATCGTAGATGGTAACAATCTACACATGATAAAATACTCAATCAAAAAGAGCCGTTCCAATAGTATAACTGGTAACTCGCAAAAGGTACTCCCTTAGAACAGCATGGCAGAGCTATGAACTTATCTCAGTACCAACACCACCACGCACCACAAAATATAAAACAATACACACACTTACATCTGTTTTTTATGCTTTTTAGCAAGCCACTCTGTCCATCTTCCCACAACAAAAATAACTGCAATCGCAGACTATAGTGTATTTTTATGTACAAGAGAGTAATAAAACAATAAATTATGTATGCAAATCCCTAAACTGTTGATACGGGTGACTCAATGAAAAACAGATATTTGTCAACAAGTTTACAAAAGTATATACGAAAACAATTTTAAATTGAGTATGACCACCAGGTATTAAGGTTGGAGCAGAATAGAATATAATAGTTGTGAGGGTTACTAATCCCTAAATAAGGTTGCCAGTGTCGGAGTGATGGAGGTTAACAGGTACTAATGAATTTGCAAGAAATGTAAGATGTTTATTTTATTGGTTATATATAACCAATAAAAGTTTAATAAGTACCTACCTATTTGCAAAATAAAGTTTAATTCTTTAGATAAAATAAAACGTTTTATTTTATCTGAAATGAGTGCATTTCACGAAGTAAGGGTTTCAACAATCAAACATTTAATTCTTTAATTCCAGGAATCTACGACAGTAATTGACTAGATAATTACCTTCTAAACTTATTCCACAGAAAATGTGATAGTGGGTTTTTCCATTTTGTAGGAAGGTCCAAGTGGCGTATTCAAAATTCTTAACAGTTCACTAAAAGTAGGTACTTCAGTTGCAAGGTGCAGTTTATTGTGTATACTAGTGTTATGGAAAATTTGGAAGTGCCGTGTAAACGCCGAAAAATTGGTCCTTTAACAGTTAATGAAAAAACATTAATATTTAATTGTTTTAAATCATTTACAGACAAACGTTTATGTGAAAGTGTTGATGAGACCGTTGAGTTAGTTAGCAGTACACTTGGTGTTGGGAAATCTACGATTTACAGAGTTATTAAAGAAGAGAAATGTTGTAGTTTTCAAATGCCACGTAATGCTCCAGGGAAACCAAAATTTCAAATAGAATATCATTTTAAAGAAGGACTTCGACGGAAAGTGCATGAATTCTTCTTTAGACAAGAATTTCCAACATTGGATAAAGTTCTTGTCTCAGTTCGAGATGATAAGGATTACCCAGAAATGAGTCGAAGTACGTTATGGAAACTTTTAAAAGAAATAGGCTTCCGCTGGAAAAAGAATCCCAGAAAGTCTATTTTATTAGAAAGAAGCGATATTGTCATATGGAGAAGACATTTTCTAAGAACCATAAAGGAAATGAGAAACCAAAAAAGAAAAATATTTTATCTTGATGAAACATGGATCAACGAGGGTCATACACCAAATAAATTTTGGCAGGATGAAACTGTTACAAGTCAAAGGCACGCTTTTGTAAATAACTTATCTACTGGTTTAAACCCTAACCCACATCAGGAAAGGGACGCAGGCTGATAATAGTACACATTGGCAGTTCAGACGGTTTTGTTGAAGGTGGTTTATTAACTTTTGAATCAACTCGTACCGGTGACTACCATGAAGACATGAACGCTGATGTCTTTCAAGAATGGTTCGAACAAATGATAGATCTTCTTCCTAAGAACTGTGTAATAGTAATGGATAATGCAAGTTATCACTCCAGACTTATAGAAGGACTGCCCACAACCAATTGGTTAAAAAAATACTTGCAGAATTGGCTGAGTTCAAAAAATATTACGTACCATCCCGGATCTATAAGAAAGGAACTTTATTCGTTGTGTGCTCTTCATAAAGAAAAATTTAAAAAATACGAAATTGATGAAATTGCCAAAAATCGTGGAATGACAGTACTTAGATCCCCACCATATCATTGTGAATTAAACCCGATTGAACTGGTATGGGCACAGATAAAGAGTGAAGTTTCAAGAAAAAATACCACTTTTAAAATTCATGATGTTAAACAGTTGTTTTTGGAGGCCGTAAATAATGTAAAACCTGAAAACTGGGAAAAGGCAGTAAATCACACTATTAAAGAAGAGGAAAAAATGTGGAAGCTGGACAATATTACTGATAAAATGATCGAGCCAGTTATTATAAATCTTGGTTCTGAAAGTTCATCTTCTGAATCTGATTTGGATTTGTAACAAGTAGCTGTAAGTTTTATATTAATATTTTTATTCATCTATTTAACATACCTTAGACGGTTTTAAAAACTCTTTTTCTCTTTTGTAATTTTTAAAAATTAAAAAAAAGGTGAATTTTTTAAAACCCTTTTTAATGTAGGCCAGTCAGTTCTAATATAGTGTGTGATAAAAGAGGTCACTTTTGTTTATATACACATAACACTTTATAACACTGAAATAATTCATTTATTTTTTACAATTATTCAGAGTAATTTTTCAATTAATCTTGAGCACGCCCATGGAGTGGTCGGATGTACCAGTTAAAATTATGCTAATTACTCTCTCGTTCATAAAAATAAACTATACCATCTCTCTCCCTAATAAGGGAGCCCACACCTTGAAGAGGCGTCCCATCTAGGCGAGGTATAAATAACATTGTTCATTTACCCCCTCTCCACCCTAGAAGGTCGGACGGTCGATCTTTTTTTTCTTCTTTTAGCATCCTATCCGATTATCGAACTTTGTCGATCATATGGGCAATAATAACTTTACGGGAACTTAAACCAGATTAGCTGATGTCTGTTACTTAACTTATCCGCAGTAGTCATCGATAAATTCACCTCTGACAGCCCTGAAGTTTTTTCATTAGTGTTGCTGTAAGAGTCCAGCTCTCCATGCCATACAGCAATGTGGAGAATATGCCTCAGCGTATTAATTTGATTTTAAGGTTGACAATCTGGTTTGTAATATCTGTATTATATGAATTAGAAGGCAACTCTGGCTTTTTCAAGCTCAATGCAAATTCTTTGCTTATATCTCAGTTATTCTTAACGTTGGCATCCAAATAGGTGTTATTACCACTCAAAAGATTTTTGAAAAATTCTTAATATTGGTTTTTTGTTTTCTCATTAAGCAGTGTATTGTTCGAGATATAAGACCGTTTTTATAATGTTCCTGGGATAAATCGTTTTTTTCCTATTATGGAACCATCTTCCAACAATTTAACCAATGTCTTGAATAAAAGTTATTGTCATAAGAATTCCAAATCTGGAAAACAAAATGGGGTTCCTATTTAAGATTTTAAGGTTGCTTCCCCCCCCCCCAGGGAATAGGATGGTGGGGTCATTAGATAGATTTTTGAAAAATATTTGACATATTTTTTACAGTTTTTCGATCCGATGTAAATTTTTGGTGATGAAATGTTTATGATTATATTTTTATATTTGTAGGAGGCTCAGCTCATCAATTACCTACCCACTATACTCACTGCCGGTCTTCCTCCACAAAACGAAGAAGTTCGAATGCATCAGATATTGGCTCAAGATCCAGACAACGGAGAAGAGATTGCAATCCAGCCAGACATAAACTTGAAAGGGCTATCAGTTCAGACTCAAGACTTACAGGTAAATTACAATTTTTATTTAAATTTGATTTCCAGTTAGTAAACATAAACGGAATTTCCCTGTTTTTAACCTTAAAATATTATATTAGAATGAGTTAAAACATTAAAGCCGGATATTGTTATCGTGGTGCCATTCTATTGACTGAGGATTTTGTTTGTGAATTTCATTTAAAGTACCTTCGAATTGTGTAGCTGGACATTCTTGGGTGAGTTTGTCACATAGTGGGCTGTGATTTAACGAATGCCCCATTCGTTAAGTGATTTATTGCATACTCCATGACCTACTCTGATTCTTTGGTTATAGCCCCACGCACTGTGATTACTATTGAAGTCTCCTCTATATATTGATGGATCCGGTAACGAAAGAAGCGCTTCTGGTGGATAAGGATATATTGCGTTTAAATTTATATATACATTAGCCATTATGATTTTGCCTATTACGGTTGCTAGTATGAAAAGTTCTTGAGATGAGTAAGAGTATATAGTGTTAACATTTTTTATGTATGTTCTACAGTAGTTAGCAATCTCATATTGTGGGTGATTAAGTGAGACTACAAATCTATATCCTGGAAATTGACCTCGGTAGTTCAATTACTGTCGTCAGCAGTGCCTGTTTCCTGAACTGTGGCTATGTCAATATTATTTTCCGCAAGAAGCTTGCTGATGTATTCGTTTTTGCTTTGGCTAATGCCTTCGTTGTTTATTTGGCATAATTACTTGGATTGTTGGTCCAATTATTAGATGGTTCTAAGAAAAATGTTTTTTTTTTTCTTGGTTATATAGTTGTTTGCAATATTTTCGCTAGGAGATCTGGAAGACAGTCTGTCGGTTCAATGTTGCTGCTCATTTAGTTTCGTGCAGCACGATTAGACGAGGCAGCTTTACACAGCGCGACACATAGAAAACGGCTAATCGAAACATCTTCACCTTAAATAGTAGAGCGAAGAATGATTTATCTGTCCTACTTACAGTTTCAATATTATTGTATCCCAGAATAGGCATAGGATATTATACTCGCTTCCAATGCCATAAGCAGTATTTGATAATAAGTTTCTGTTTAATAAAACTCAATTTCTATTCTAGGGACTGCCTTAAGATACCATCAGCACACTCCTCAAAGGACTCCGCACATAACTCCTGAGGTCAGCCCGCAAATAACTCCACAGCCTACTCGCGCTCAAAATTCTTTGGAGACTGATCCGGATAGAGCCGGTTCTGATACGGACGTTAGATTTTCTCAGCACAGTGTACATTTTAGTAATAGTCCACAAAAATAAGACGGCAATGAACCCCTAGAGTAGATTAAAGCCGTGATATTTGTGAAAAGTTTAAATATAATATTTATAATTATACAAAACATGATAGAAAAAAGGGTCATCTATAGTATGAGATTTTTCAAACTATGTGCAAACTCTGTATGTATATAGATATATAAACAAGATTATCTTGAGTTAAAATCCTAAGAGGTTAATTTACAAAAAATATAAGCTCTTTTTCAAGGCAATTATATTTCATCATCACTTTATTGACACATTTAATAAGTTAGCAGTTCATACGACAGATAAAGAATCATCCGCAAAGCATATAGAAAGCAAGCACTCCAAGAATAAGAATTTAATATTATTTTTAATCAATATTTTATATGTCATGTAAATAATCAAAGAAATATTGTAATTAAACTTTTCACGAAATACAAAGGCAATAAAGGTTGTAACTTTGACAATGTTACCATTGTGTATGACTGATGTTATCTTAAGGATAAGTAGAGAAACCAAATATCTTTAATATTCGTATATTCTATGGTGACTAAAATATTGTAATTGTTATCGCACATGCAAAATGAATTAAACACTCAAATGTTTATTTAAGTTATAGAATATAAGCAAGCAATAAAAATAATATAGATTGCAGCAATACCTTAAAGAAATTGTTAAACTATTTAGAAATAGTATTCTTCTTTAAGGCAAGTTTACATGTATCCAGTAAATGACACCAGTCGCACTAACACGAAAGCGCTGACATGGTATTGGCATCCTGTAAACAATTTTGCGCCAGTTCAGCGCTGCCTCAAATAGAGAGCTATGGAATGGAAACTGCTAAGATTTTAATAAAAAATAATGACCCAAAAGCTAAGCAAAGCAGATATGTTAAAGTTGTAACCTTATAGAGATCAACAAGTAGTCACGATATACGGGTTATTGTCAATTTGTACTGGAATCAAAAAGCAAAGGTTAGAATCGAAAATGTTGATACAGAAACTATAGAAATTAAAAGAGGTGTTAAACAGGGTTGCGTGCTATCCCCATTGTTATTCAATCTGTAAAGCGAGGCTATTTTTAAGGAAGCAATATTAGAGGAACAACAGGGTATATCAATAAACGGAAAAACCTTGAACAACATAAGATTCGCAGACGACACCGCTGTTTTTGCAGACAGTCTAGAAGCACTGCAACGCTTAGTAAATAGATTACATCAAGTCAGTATAAAATATGGACTACAAATAAACGTTAAGAAAACCAATTGCATGATTATTTCTAAGCAACATACAGTAAAAAGGCTAGATATCGAGGGAAAATAAGTATAAAAAGTAAATAACTTCAAATATCTGGCAACCTGGGTAAATGAAAACAATGAATAAGGTAGAAAAATAAGGACACGTATTGAAGTTGCAAGACAAACATTTATAAAAATGAAAACAATGTTTGTTAATCGAGACCTTCCTCTGGAGCTGAGGATAAGAGCCTTAAGATGCTACGTGTTTTCGACTTTGTTGTATGGAATGGAAAGCTGGAAAGTAAAAGTGGATAATATAAAGAAGTTGGAATCATTTGAGATGTGGTGCTATAGAAGGATTTTGAAAATACCATGGACCCGACGAGTTACAAACGCAGAAGTGTTAAGAAGGCTACAAAAGAATTGTGAGCTCATATAGCACATGAAATACGAAAACTGGAATATTTAGGCCACGTTACCAGAGGTGCGAAATATGAAATATTAAGGCTTATAATGCAAGGTAAAATAAAGGGTAAAAGATCCATAGGAAGACGAAGAATTTGCTGACTATATGTATAGTTGCAGCTCAGTATATCTTTTCAGAGCAGCCGCCAATAAAGTACAGATAGTTGTGATCAGCCAACCTCACATAGGAGAAATAACTATAAGAAGCATATAAAAACAAACAATTGTGCTCACCAGTGCTACAACAAATTCAAGAACGAATAGAAGAGAAGAAATTGTTTTCACACTTTAAGTAGAAATTTCAAAATAGGTAGGTCAGGTCAAAGTCCGACATAACAAAATGCTAGAAATATTGAAAACAGCTGGATTGGACGATAAAGATCTACGAATAATTACAAATCTATACTGGCATCAAGTGGCAAGAATAAAGGTTGAACAAGAACTGTCGGATGAAATAAATATAAAAAGAGGAGTGAGACAAGGCTGTATATTGTCGCCTTTACTTTTTAACTTATATTCGGAGGAAATATTTAAGGAAGCCTTAATGGAGACAACCGAAGGTATTATTGTGAATGGAGTAACCGTCAACAATATTAGATATGCCGACGATACCTTAGTCCTTGCCAATTGCGGAGAAGACCTTCAAAATCTAATGAACAAAATAAAACAGACTTGTGATCAGTATGGACTAAAACTCAACGTTAAGAAAACTAAATATATGATAGTTAGCAAACAAAATTATATACATGATGACGGTATAAAAGTCGGAGATGCCACACTGGACAGAGTAGAGAAACTCGTGTATCTCGGCAGTAATATCAATGAGAGCTGGGATCCAACCGCAGAAATTAAAAGCCGAATAGAACAAGCCCGAGCTGCCTTTGTAAAAATGAGAAACGTACTTTGCAGTCATGATCTTAGCATTGACCTTAGAGTTCGTATGATATCTTGCTACATCTTTCCTGTCCTGCTGTATGGAGTAGAAGCGTGGACCCTAACTGAGGCTATGCTTAAACGCTTGACAGCCTTTGAGATGTGGGTATACAGACGACTACTGAAAATAAGCTGGGTCGACAGAGTTAGAAATGAGGAGGTCCTTAGACGGCTGAACCAAACAACACAACTGGTCAATATAATAAAGAAACGTAAGCTGGAATACTTCGGTCATATTATGAGACACCCTGAAAAATATGATCTTTTACAACTGATCATTCAGGGAAAGATCCAAGGTAATCGTGGTCCTGGTAGAAGAAGAACATCATGGCTGAAAAATCTAAGGCAATGGTATGGAAAATCAACTACATCGTTATTTAGAGCTGCTGTCAATAAAGTCACGATAGCGAATATGGTAGCCAACATGATATCCAACGATCGATAACGGTCATGGAACTAGAAGAAGAAGGTCAGGATACACGGTACAAGAGACTTAGGCTTCGGTAAGACATGCAAGTAGATAAATAAGTCAATGTTAAGCAAGGTTTATACATATCCAATAACTGGCATGCCTGTGCTTGATTAGGACATCGCTGGCAGGCACGTTTACACGTATTCAGAAGCTTGCGCTAGTCACACTGGCACGCCAGTTCCTACTATTGATATAAGTCGTTAGTTGTACTCTTCACAGGTACGTCAGCGACTAAAACACGTGCTATGATTATACGTGTACAACCAAAGGCGCGGAGTTAGAGGAGACGCGGACGAGGATCATTGCCATAAAATAGACCAGCTCCATATTTGAGAAAGCACTGGACTGGCGCAATAAAGTGTTTTACATGATGCCACTACTATGCCAGCGCTATCGTACCAATGTGACTGGCGCCAGTTACTGGATACGTGTAAACCAGCCTTTACTTCAAGTTTTTTTGCTTATAATGCCTCTCCCATGACAATATCTTAATACTGAAGTGAGATCTTCTACTCTTAGTTGTTGTAACAACAAAGACTGGCCCATATTTCATATTCACAATCGTTTGTCTTTACCACTTCTTCCTCTAACCTAATAATCAGCTTCTTAATAGATTTGACATTTTTTTAAAACATTTCCTTTTCTACGACTGCGTTTGCTCTTACTTCACTTTTGCAAAGGTATCACGACACTGACAATGACAACCAACGACTGACTTCACCAAATAGGAACTGTCGTGCCAGTGAGATTGGCGCCAGCTACTGATGTATAAGCGCTGTCCTAGTCAATCACTGGCATGCCAATGATTTGTTAGGATCATAAGGAATCTGTTTTGGCACCCTTACTGTTAAATTTATACATCGCAGACCTACCTGTGACAACTTCTCAGAAATTTTTTTACGCTGACGACTGGGCCATTGCAGCAAAACATAATAACATGGACATTACAGAAACATTACTAACAGATGTCGTTGCCGTCATGGGAGAATACTTCCTCAAATGGAGGCTATGGCCCAATGCAACGGAAATCGAAGTGTGCAGTTTCTACTTAAATAATGCACTTTTCCTAAAAAACTCTCCGTTCACTTTGAAAACAGACTGCTACTCATAATCCAATACCAAAATATCTAGGAGTAACATTAGACAGCGCAAGCTAGAATATCTTGGACATATAATGCGAAACGGCCATAGATATAACCTGCTGCAACTTATACTACAGGGAAAGGTCTACGGAAAGAGGGGAAGAAGAAGAATATCTTGGCTCCAGAATTTACGAAAATGGTTTTCCTTGACCACTTCAGGACTATTTCGAGCTGTGGTCAATAAAGTTAGAATTGCCATGCTAGTTGCTAACATCCGTAACGGATAGGCACCACAAGAAGAAGAAGAAGACATTAGACAGAACATTAGGGTCTAAAGATCACCTACAAAGAACGGCAACAAAACTAATAACGCGAAATAATATAGTCCAAAAGCTATGTGGCATGGGGATACTCAGCCTCCGTACTCAGATCATCCGATCTCGGACTTGTATATTAGATGGTGCTTCCCCGGTATGGCTCAATAACAAACACACGAAGATTATTGACACCCAATTAAACCAGACAATCCGAATGATCTAAAATACAATTAGACCCACACCAAACTAGTGGCTTCTTATTCTGAGTCACATTCCACCGCTGAAACTGCGAAGAAGTCATTCTCTTCTCAGAAAATATCGAAATATCGAGGCTAACCATTAACTACCCATCCACCATGATAAGCTTGATATCGAAATAAACAGACTGCGCTCCAGGTATCCTCCATTGCTAAGAGCCTTACATCAGGAAAATTTTAACCTTACCAACGCTTGGAGAAGACAATGGGAGAGCGACTCACCACAGGAAGCTTACCAATTGGCCTGTATCGATCATA